AGATGCAAGACATCCGTCAATACATGAAAGATGTACATTCCTTCAGTCTGGAAAGACAGGACAGCTGGAGGTAGGGAGCAGTCCTTCCAGGTCATGAGCAGCTTCACAGATTTTCTGATTGGTGATTAGTTGAAAGCCTTATTATCTAAAGACCTGAAATCAATAGAAAGGAATGTCTGGGTTATGGTAAGGGGGCTTGTAAGGACCAAGGTTTTATCATGCAGATGAAGTCTCCTGGTAGCAGGTGTCAGAATAGATTGTAAATGTTTCTTATCAGAGTCTGTTCTGTCAGTCTTAGGTCTCTGTGTTTATGCTAATGCTGGTCATCTGTGAAGCAGCATGCACCGCGCCCCCCCCACCGCCCCGCCCCAACTCCCCATTTCCTATCATGGCCTGAACTGGTTTTTCAGGTTCACTTTGGAATGACCTTGGCCAAGAGGTGAGGTCCATTCAGATGTTTCTTGGGTTTATAATTTTATTTTTGATTTACAAAGATAAAAAGTTGGTAGGAGAAAACAACTTGCCCCTTTGCAAGATTGACTTTGTAACAGTAGTGAGCTACTCCAAAGCCTTAGTGTAAAAACTCTGCTGACTCATGGAGGTTCTAGTTACATGAGCTGAACTTTCAAGTTGCATTCAGAAATAGAGAATGAGATGGTATTGTTCCAGGATGTTTGCAGTCTTTTATAAGCCCAGCGTTGTTCAGACCAGGCAATTCTAATTTGAAGGCATGCAAGAATTTAAGTGGCCATTTAATTTAGAGGCAGAAGCATATTTCTAGATATTATCTGTCCGCAAATATCAGGATTTTATATACATATATAAGTTTGTATGTGTATATGCAAGTTCTATGTCATGAGGTAAAATGTATTCCATGTTGTGAATTACATAAAAGAGAGTTTAAAAACCTCTGATTTAAGCTAAGCTATGTGATTAAGGCTTAATAATGTAATCAAAATTTTCATTTGGGATTAGAGTTTATTTAGCAGGAGATGCATGAACATAGTATGAATCATATCCATACTCCAGGCACATTCAGAACTAACTCTTCTGTAATGGAGAATTAGAAAGGGCTTGAAAAAGAATACACTTTTTTGGATTTGCTTTTCATTTTATTGTGGATATTGTAATAGAGAAAACATGTAATTGTGCTTCTTACACAAGACCAGAAAACAGTCTCTCTCTGTCTTTTGTTTAACCTACATTATTTCCATACTGTGTGAACTGTGATCATCAGTGACAAGGAAACAATTTGTTTTAAAAAAAAGCTTAGTGTTGACGTTAAATATACAATTTAAAGACTTTCATTTCTTTTGAAAATTGGTAATATGGACATGGCAAAGATGATAAAGCTTAACTAATGCTGGGCAGGTGTTTATTCATTAGAGAGTATACTTTATATGGTCTAACTTAAAAGTAATGTGGGTTCCCTTAAGCAGCTGGGTAGACTAGCTGGGTTTGAATATGGCCTTAATTATGGAAAAAGGATGTGGTCATTTTCTTTAGAACAAAAGGAAAGGCTTCACTTCAACTTCAGGGCATGTCAGACTGATCTTTCAAGGAACAAGTTACAATGTGGTTTCGATTGCATAGTGACAAACAGAACTTGGTAAAGTTACAAAAGAGGGCCATTGAAAAATATCCATTACTTGTCCAGCTTGAACTGCTACTCTAGGCACTAACCAGTAACCAATTCCTCATGGTCACTGATGTGATATTTAAAACACGGAATAATGTGGTTACTGGTGGTTTGCCACTGTACTGATGTAAGACTGGCTACTCTTTTTTTTTTTTTTCCAATATCGGTAGTTGGGTAAAAGAGCTTAATTACCATCTTGTGTCCTCTGCCATCTGCACCCCACTCCTTCCACGTATTAGGCCATGTCTCAGCAAGTTCTCAAAGACTATTGTTTAATATGGTAAAGAAGAAAAGATGGTTTACTATAGCAAGGGTGGTAATACAGCTCTCCACTCCTCGCCTCCCTACAGCTTCAGGCAGAAGAGCGCAAGCCTTGGAGTCAGAAAGACCTGAACTCAAATCTCTACTCTACCATTTATTAACACTTTGATCTTAAGCAAATTCCATAATCTCTGAGTTTCAGCAAAAACGTGTCAAAAATGGCAAATAATATTGCCTACTCTGTAAGTATTTTATATGGTTCTGTAAGATTTTTTTTTTATAAATTACATTCTATATAAAAATATTGTCTAAACAAAAAACACTGAGAAAAGTAACATTTTTACGAGAAAAACCCTCTAATAGACAACTTCTAGATTCTCATATCTGCTATAGAATTCTGTCTGTTCTGATATGCCGTTTTGGTTGATGTACATGAAGAAAAGTTGGTTTAACTCAAATATGTAACTGCTAAAAGATAAAGTATATATATATATATATTTTAATTTTATTATACTTTAAGTTCTAGGGTACATGTGCACAACGTGCAGGTTTGTTACGTATGTATACATGTGCCATGTTGGTGTGCTGCACCCATTAACTCGTCATTTACATTAGGTATATCTCCTAATGCTATCCCTTCCCCCACCCCCTTCCCACAATAGGACCCGGTGTGTGATGTTCCCCTTCCTGTGTCCAAGTGATCTCATTGTTCAATTCCCACCTATGAGTGAGAACATGCGGTGTTTGGTTTTCTGTTCTTGCGATAGTTTCCTGAGAATGATGGTTTCCAGCTGCATCCATGTCCCGACAAAGGACATGAACTCATCCTTTTTTATGGCTGCATAGTATTCCATGGTGTATATGTGCCACATTTTCTTAATCCAGTCTGTCATTGATGGACATTTGGGTTGATTCCAAGTCTTTGCTATTGTGAATAGTGCTGCAGTAAACATACATGTGTATGTGTCTTTATAGCAGCATGACTTATAATCTTTTGGGTATATCCCCAGTAATGGGATGGCTGAGTCAAATGGTATTTCTAGTTCTAGATCCTTGAGGAATCACCACACTGTTTTCCACAATGGTTGAACTAGTTTACAGTCCCACCAACAGTCTAAAAGTGTTCCTATTTCTCCACATCCTCTCCAGCACCTGTTGTTTCCTGACTTTTTAATGATTGCCATTCTAACTGGTGTGAGATGGTATCTCATTGTGGTTTTGATTTGCATTTCTCTGATGGTGAGTGATGATGAGCATTTTTTCATGTCTGTTGGCTGTATGAATGTCTTCTTTTGAGAAGTGTCTGTTCATATCCTGACCTCTTCAAAGAGAACTACAAACCACTGCTCAGTGAAATAAAAGAGGGCACAAACAAATGGAAGAACATACCATGCTCATGCATAGGAAGAATCAATATTGTGAAAATGACCATACTGCCCAAGGTAATTTATAGATTCAATGCCATCCCCATTAAGCTACAATGACTTTTTTCACAGAATTGGAAAAAACTGCTTTAAAAAGTTCATGTGGAACCAAAAAAGACCCTGCATTGCCAAGACAATCCTAAGCCAAAAGAACAAAGCTGGAGGCATCACGCTACCTGACTTCAAACTATACTACAAGGCTACAGTAACCAAAACAGGATGGTACTGGTACCAAAACAGAGATATAGACCAATGGAACAGAACAGAGGCCTTAGAAATAATACCACGCATCTAGAGTCATCTGATCTTTAACAAACCTGACAAAAATAAGAAATGGGGAAAGGATTCCCTATTTAATAAATGGTGCTGGGAAAATTGGCTAGCCGTAAGTAGAAAGCTGAAACTGGATCCTTTTCTTACTCCTTATATGAAAATTAATTCAAGATGGATTAGAGGCTTAAATGTTAGACCTAAAACCATTAAAACCCTAGAAGAAAACCTAGGTAATACCATTCAGGACATAGGCACGGGCAAGGACTTCATGTCTAAAACACCAAAAGCAACAGCAACAAAAGCCAAATTGACAAATGGGATCTAATTAAACTAAAGAGCTTCTGCACAGCAAAAGAAACTACCATCAGAGTGAACAGGCAACCTACGGAATGGGAGAAAATTTTTGCAATCTACTCATCTGACAAAGGGCTAATATCAAGAACCTATAAAGAATTCAGTCAAATTTACAAGAAAAAAACAACCCCATCAAAAAGTGGGCAAAGGTTCTGTAAGATTTTAGTGAGATATAAGTAAAGTACTTGCCTCTATTCCTCGTATCTTAGTCTATTCCTGCTGCCATAACAAAATACCTTAGACTGGGTAATTTATAAATAATAGAAATTTATTTCTTAAGTTCTGGGGACTGGGAAGTTCAAGATCAAGGCACTGGCAGATTCAGTGTCTGGTGTGGGCTTGCTTCCTGCTTCCAAGATGATGGCACCTTGTTGCTGCATCTTCACATGGAGGAAGTTTCAGAAGAGATGGAAGAGAGGAAGCCCCATCAATGAAGGTGGAGCCATCATTGCCTAACTACCTAATCATTTCATGAAGGCCCAGCTTCATGATATTGGTACATTGGGGATTAAGTGGCCACATGAATTCTGGAGGAGCACAAACGTTAAAGCCATAGCACTGGCATTCAAAAAGTGTATATTGTAGCTATTAATATTTATCATAATAAAAATAATATTACTTCAGTTGTAATTTCTAAAATCTTTAATGCCTTGTTTGATGCAAAATATGTTATTCAGGATGAGACTTGCTTTTTAAGCTATGGTTTTCTGAGTGTTGTACCTGTTGTACTACAGGGCTGGACTACGAAGCATGTAGTGGCCAAAGACATAAGTTCATGACTTTTTGCTATTTGCAATATTTGTAGTTTTCTATACGGTTATATTCTGATGCTTTTCTTTCTATGATAAAAGGCAATCAGAATATAAAATATGTTATGTATGTACTTGGAACTGCCATGTACATACCTGGGTATCATCACTGACTAAACATAAGATTTGTTTGAAAGTTATATCAACACAAGTGGTAAGTGGAATTAAAACTGCAATTTATTGAATTTTTAGATTTGTAAAGAATGTAATAATAGATTCGTGATGTTTTCTTTTTAACAGATGGGCTTAGGTCACGAGCAAGGATTTGGAGCCCCTTGTTTAAAATGCAAAGAAAAATGTGAAGGATTCGAACTGCACTTCTGGAGGTATTGTTTTGAAAACTGCAACCACATTAGTAATTTATACTTTTTGCAATACTTCCTTAGACAGTGGAAATATCTTCAAGTTCTCCAGCATGCTTGCTAAGTTGCAGACCTGTTATTGTCTTTTCTGAGAAATGAATACAACATAAAGTTTTCTTACTGTCATTAAGTCTGACTTAGTAAATTGAACCATAATAACTATATTTAGAGTTGTTGGATTTGCTTGCTGTCTTTAGGATTTCCTTTGAGCCTGAAATACTGAATATATCTTTCTGGTAGTAAATAAGTTTGTAGTAATCCTCCAGGACTGTTTAATAATTTATTTATTTATTTTATTTATTTTTTGAGACGAGCTCTCATTCTGTCACCTAGACTGGAGTGCAGTGGTGTGACCTCAGCTCACTGCAACCTCCGCTTTCTGGTTCAAAAAATTCTCTTGCCTTAGCCTCCTGAATAGCTGAGATTACAGGCTTGTGCCACGATGCCTGGCTAATTTTTCTTTTTTGTATTTTTAGTAGAGATGGGGTTTCACCATGTTGGCAAGGCTGGTCTCAAACTCCTGACCTCAAGTGATCAGCCCACCTCAACCTCCCAAAGTGCTAGGATTACAGGCGTGAGCCACCATGCCTGGCCCTGTTTAATTTTTAATTTAATTATTTTCTTCTTAAAAATTAGTAACTTCACATCTCATCTCTACATTTTCAGTAAACAAATATGAATACTGAATTGAGAATTTATATGTTAGTTATCAGGGAATGAAGTTGAAGTTAGGTCTCTTTAAAATTTTCAGCTGTAAGTTACCAGTGAAAAACATTGAAACACTTGAATTTTTTTTTAAGAAAAAAATTAATTGTAGTGTCTTGGTTTGAATGAAGTGCAGATATACACAAGACAAATGTTAGTGGGTTAAAAATGTGGATTTTATATAGATCTTATCTTTAGGTTGTTTTGAAAGTACTACTGCATATCATATAAATCTAAAATCAGTATTTGAAACCTGTGCTTATGAATGACTGTCAAGTCCGTAATGGTAGTTCACAAGTCTGCTCAAAGTTAGAATTAGCAGGAAAAAAAATAAAGATAACTATACAATTTTAGGATGGCAGCTATCTTGTTAGGATGACTCTCATTTGAGAGCCACTTCTGTACTACAAATTTCCACAGGAAACCCTTTAGAATAAATACTTTCATCAGCTCTTGGAAATGTGTACAGTGTAATTAAAGGAGATTATAAACAAATAAAATTTTAGAAATTAAGCTCTTTTAAAAACTAGTTTCTTGAATCAGTTTTCAGAAACAAAGGTAAATGTGTAAAATAGCAAAGTCAGTAGAAACCTGCTAGAACTGATACAATTCTTCAGTTTTAGGGAGCTAAAGTTTTCCAGAAATTTTTTTTACAAGACTTAAACAGCTCTCCCTTGTGCTGTCTCTTCAAGGGATGTAGAAGTGAGGCAGTATGTCTCTCATGTTTTAAAAAGGTAAAGTGACTTAACACAAAATAGTTTTCGTGGATTAGAACGTCTCTGCTCTTAATGCTCACACAGTTTTCTATTGTCCCTATCAGTTAACTTTACGGAAGGCTGCACTGCCCTCTCCTGGGCGTAGTTTTTACCTTACAATCTTATAATACCTAAAATCCAAAATCCAAAATGCTCCAAAACCAAAACTTCTTGAGAGTCAACATGATGCCACAAGTGGAAAATTTCACATACCTGACCGTGTGACAGGTCGCAGTCAAAATGCATTCAAACCTTTGTGTCTTGTACAAAATTATTTAAAATATGTATAAAATTATCAGGCTATGTACATATGCTGTATATGGAATAGAAATGAATTTTATGTTTAAACTTGGGCCCTATACCCAAGATAGCTCATTGTGTTTATGCAAATATTCCAAAATTTAAAAAAATTTGAAATCTGATACACTTCTGTTTACTTCTGAAGCATTTTGGGTAAGAGATACTTAACCTGTATTCTTTTTGGTTCTGCTATGCAATTGCCAAAAACTGCTCATGAGATTTTAAAGCTCATTCCTAAGAGATATCATCTTTTCTCTAAAGCAAGTTATAGTCATTTTTGTTATGTCTATATTAATCATTTTAATCTGATACTTTCAGATGAAAATATATCCGACAAGAGCAGATCTCCATGGCATGAAAATAACCTTTTTTTTTTTTTTTTTCAATTTTATCACACAGATTCATTTAATCAACTGGGTATAGTCTGAAAATCTAAGAGCCATAATAGTCTAGGGCTTTGCATATGGCCTGTCATTCAGCTAGGGTTGATAACAGTCCACCCCGTTGGTATTTCTTAGTAGTTCTGACATCTTCCTGGCATGAGTCCAGTCACATTTCTCTCAGAATTCTTGATAATTCCCTGACTTTTTCACCATAGCTAAAAGAGCTGAAGCAGGTGCCTTTGACCTCCATATGTAGCCTCTTTCAGTACAGTCTTTGAAGTAAAATATTCTAGACTGGCTGTCCTGAGTGTAACAAAGATTCCAGGTCTAGTCTAGGGCCACAGAACTTCTGTGGGTGAGGTAGACATGGGATTCCCTGACCCTACCCACTTAGCCTCCTCCTCCAGCTTCATGGTGATCCTTGACTTAGGACCCTGAGGGCTCCACTGGGTACATTTCAAAAATCAGAGTTAAATTTTCTCTACCTCTTTATTAGTCTGGCCTCTCACACAACCACATAAATGATCTTTTGAACATGGATACTATTATATACTTCTGATGACTTAAGAACCCTCAGTAGTTTCCCACTGGACTTCTTTTAGGCAAATTTCTTGACCTTTGATGTTACACCCCAACATCTGGCCTCTGCTTGCTTTTCCAGCCTCTTCCACTGCCCTTCCAAGCACCCTATGCTCCAAGTGCTTGATACATACTATTCCCTGAAATTTTGTGCCTTATTGATGGTATTCTCTGCCTGGAAAACCCTACCTCCCACCAGTAGGAAACAAAAAGTCTCAGCTCAAGAAATACCTCTGAGAATTCTTCCCTGCCCATGTATGTCTTTTCGGGCTGCCATAACAAAATATCACAGACCTGGTAGTTTAAACAAAATATACTTTCTCCCAGTTCTACAGGCTGGAAAGTTCAAGATCAGGTGCTTGATCAATCCACATGATTGAGTTCTGGTGAGGTCTCCCTTCCAGGCTTACAGATGGCTGCCTTCTCACCATGTGCTCACATGGCCTTTCCTTGGTGTGTGTGTGCATGTGCATGTGTGCATGTTTGTGTGTGTGTCTGGAGAGGAAGAGATCTCTCTCCCTTTTCTTATAAGGTCACCTATTCCAATGGATTGTGACCTTCACCTTGTGACCTCTTTTAACTTTACTTCCTAAAAGCCCCTGCTTTTACAGTCACATTAGGGGTTTGGGCTTCAGCATATAACTTTGAGGAAATACAGTTCAGTCCACAGCACCCCCTTCCCCTGCTTCCACATACCCCCAAAGTTGTTAGGAATCATTTTCCTTTTTATCACCTTGTATACTTATAGGAAGCCAGGAGATAAATACCCAGACTTCATTCTTCTTCATCATTCTGATTTCCTGCTGGCACCTCCCATTGTCCCATTGCCAGTGCCAAGGGAACCCACGGTGCAGTCCTTAAGGGTCAGCCTTCTGGGAAGTAGCACAGAGTACTGAGGCATGGAGAGTGAATCTGGAGAGGTGAATGGAAGATGCCGGATCAAGGTTTATCACCATAGTTGCAGGAGACTAAAAATGAATTATTAGAAATTTAGAGTAGAACTTGTAACTTTAGTCAAACCTTATTTTACAGATCAAAGAACCAAAACCAAAGGAAGTTAAAATAACTTGTTTGAGCCCATGAGTTATTAATAATATAATTTGTGAATGATTTCTATGTGTCACACACCAGTGAGCACTTGTAATAATTTTCTACCACTGCATAACAAATTACTACAAACTTTGCAAGTTAAAGCAACAACTATTAACTCAACATCCATTATTATTATTATTATTATATTATTACTTTTTTTTTTGAGACGGGGTTTCACCCTTTTTGCCCAGGCTGGAGTGCAGTGGTACAATCTCAGCTCACTGCAACCTCTGCCTCCTAGATTCAAGTGATTCTCCTGCCTGCCTCCCGAGTAGCTGGGATTATAGGCGCCCACCACCACACCCACCTGATTTTTTGTATTCTTAGTAGAGACAGGGTTTCACCATGTTGGCCAGGCTGGTCTCAAACCACTGACGTCAGCTGATCCACCCGCCTCAGCCTCCCAAAGTGCTGGGATTACAGGCATGAGCCACTGTGTCTGGCCAGCATCCATTATCTTTCAGATTAGAAGTCTGAGGTAGTGGGGCTGGCTTAGCTGGATTCTATGCTTAGCACCTCAAAAAGCTGAAATGAAGGTGTTGGCCAGGCTAAGTTCTCACCTTTAAGTTCTGGGGAAAAATCTGCTTTTAAGCTCATTCTTGTTGGTAGAATTCATTATCTGTGGTTGGAGAACCAAGGTCCCTGTTTCCTCGTTGCTTTCAGCTGGGGGCTGGCTACTCTCAGCTTCTAGAAGCCACTCGCATTCATTGAGGTACAGCCCCTTCCATCTTCAAAGCCAGCAACACTCCTTAGAATGCTTCCTGAACCTCACACGTCTCCAACTTCCCCTTCTGCTCCCAGCCAGAGAAAATTCATTGCTTTTTAAGGGCTCACATGATTAGATTAGGCACGCCTGGAAAATTTCGCATTTGCCATATAAAAGTAACATCATCATGAAAGTAACACTGGGGACAGAATTCATAAGAGCCATCTTAAAATTCTGCTTACCACAGCACTTTATATACCTGATTGTACCTAATACTCCTAATATTTATTTTATTATTTATGATAAATCAAAGACTTAGGAAAGTTAAACAACTTACCAAAGTTAGGACTTACAGATAGCAGAGCTGAATTTGAATTCAGAGTTTGCCAAAACCTTTCTCCATGGCAGAGGAGATACTAGAATGTGCATTTTTCACTCTCAGGG